TAAACTTGCGATTATAGATAAACTAGGCAAGGTTTGTGGTTCATATGTACCACAAAATATCGTAGAGCAGTAGTGGATAAAGAAATATAATTTGATATACGAATATTTGCAAAATAAACTAAAACACATATGAAACATTCTTACATTAATTGTTAAAATCAAGCTTACATTATTTCTTGCAAAGTAGTATTAAGAAAGATACACTTTCGATTAACCCCAACCATTACCATACGATTAGCTTTTATGGATGATCAAATTCAAACCTTCAAGTGAAACAATCCGAGTGCAGTGTAAATTCTCGTGAAGTGAGTATAAATGGTCACTAATAATATAAATTAAGCCCCATGAACATTAGGCACAACATGACAAGGTTAACTAATCACCGAAAAACTTCAATTAAAATGTAATAACATACATGCTAATCACCGAAAAACTTCAATTAAAATGTAATAACATACATGTCACACTATGATAAACCAATTACATAATCTTTATTCAAAAGAAATAACAAAATATAAAGCAATACCAAAGACGATATTTCTTACAACATTATTAGAACCTAGCTTGTAGATCTCTGACCACATTAGGATCCAGTTGGAATGCTCTTGAAAGAACATTAGGGTCTATAGGTGGGTTAGACCCAAACACTGTATTAGCAATCGTGATAACACCTGCGTTTTGGCTGCTCAAAGCAGCGATTGCAACCGCGGGAATTCGTCCTATATTGAATTGAAAATGGACGAGTCCTTCTGGAAACACAAATACATCACCCACGTTAAGTGTTTTGGTGAAAAGGCGGTTTCCATCTTGGTTTGATGAGACGAACCCTACAAGTAGGGTTCCTTGTTGAACAACCAATATCTCGCTGGCACGTGGATGAGTGTGAGGTGGGTTCTGACCATTAGGTTCATAGTCTATACGGACAAGTGAGATTCCAAGAGTGTTTAATCCTCCGAGATTGTTAACATTGACGGTTGTCACATTGGACCTGACCGCGTTATTTGTATTTCCAGGTTTGTTGAGCCCTGAGAAAAAGAAATCATCCGCGGAAACGGCCCTTGGGTCCTTGCAGAACTTTCCATTCACAAAGACTGAACATGATTTTAAAATATAAAGTATAAGTAATGCAATAATGAGCATAAAAGTATATTAAAGAAGTTACGAAGCATACCTCCATCAGCTGGTGTGTTGACGCCGACGCAGAAATCTTGAAGGGGACTTGGATCAGACGCAATGGTCAATGGAAGTGTCAAAGCCAAGAGAGATAGAACTGCAAGAAAGGAGAGACTCTTCATTGCCATATGTAGGTATTTAGACGATTCTTAGAAGAAAGGAAGGATTATTGTTAATTTTTTGATTTTTGAGAAACTTATGAGACAAAGAGTTCAATTTATAGATTGTTTTAGAGTTTGAACAAGTCCGTACATATGTTATGCTACATTCTTTCTTTAACATGCAAAAGGATAGCTTTTTTCCGTCAAGTCGTATTATGTTAGCTAGGAATTATTTTGATTATTGTATTGTTACCATGTTAAAATGTAGCTTTCATTATCTAAAAGTTTGAAATGGTAAAATGTTGATTAAACCGTGTTCCCTCAAAGTCGTAGTATGTTGGGAGTTATTTTAATTATATAATGATGAAACCATGCTTATGTTTGCAATATCTTAAATGCACAAAATAAAGAAATTATATCTTCAATTGTTAAAATGATGCACTTGAAGTTTAAAATATCAAGTGTTGGCGTTGAAAATTTTATATAAGTTACTAGAAAGGTTTATTTAATATTAGTTTTTCCTCAAGTTGCCATTGAACTAACGTGAGGATTTTGGTAATCTAGTTTCAATTGCATGTGAGCTGACTTTGAATAATGTCAAAAGTGAATTTGTTGATTTTTTTTTGGCTTGAATGTTTCGTTAAGCAATAAGAAACGACCATATCAACTTATACAAACATGAGTTGATAATCGGAAGAAAAAGAATATATATCACTTGTCAAGGAGAGGAATATCCTACTTTTCGAATAAAATTTGATTCGAACGTTACTTGACGTAAAGAAGATATATAGTGGTATGGTTTAAGAGCCTAAATGCAAAACGAATAACCACGTTTCGACGTACGAAAATTTGTGTCGATAACATGTTGTAAATCTATGTTGCAAAGTTGATTTTGCGACAGAATTGCGTCGGGATCCGTTTTCGCCGCTAGCCTCCCTGTCGTCGCACGGTCTATTCTGGTTTGGCAAACCTCAAGTAGGCCGAGGCGTGGTCGCTTCTTTTCCCCCACTCGTCGCACTTGGGCTATGGTTCAGGAGATTTCTCGTCGCTGGTAGTTGTGGATCTGGTTTCTAGCTCGGTGGTGCGGTGGTCGCGGTGGCTGGAGGTTTTCCGATCTCGGGGGCCGAAACTGGTGTGGTTATTGGGATTGGGCCTTTTTGTAACCATAGACTTAGGTTTTTCCATTGAATCAGATCCATTTGGGCCTTTGTAAAGGCTTTATTATAAATTCAAGAAAACCCTTTAACAAAAAAAAAAACAGAATTGCGTAGGGACAATTTATGCCATTACTTTGTTGCGATGGATAAATTTAGCAACAAGAATTTCATTTTGATCTATAATAGAACACAAAATTTAGCAACATAAACCATAGCGTT